AACATTTTTAAAAAGTTAATCTACATTCATCTTGAAATATTCAAACTTGAAGTTCTAATCTCTGGCTTTAAAGCTCACGCACTGGCTGTTATTAGCCAAAGAGCAAAAGAATTCTCTAACGATATTTATTTCGTCGCTTTGTTCCTCTTTCCAGCTTACAAAAATATGGCCATATCAAAGTATATGGATGGAGATCGTCTTCTCCGTGGATGCTTAGAATTGGCCAAGGCCTGGAACTTTGAAAAAAGAGATGCGGGTTTGCTTTATAAAGAGTTGATTAGCTACAAAAGCAACAATCCCCCATTCGATCATATTAAACTTAATATTAAACAGTCACCTAGATCCTTTTGGGCGAATTTTACCGGAAATTCGCCCATTCTTCGCCAATTTGCCATGAAAGTTCTCGCTATTGTACCTCATGGTGCTGCTTGCGAACGATTATTCTCTTCTTTGGGCCTTACTAAATCTAAAACTAGGAATCGTCTTTCTCCTGACACTCTTTCCAAACTTGGGCAGATCAAAAATGAACTTCAGCAATTCGTCTCCAAAAAAAAGAAAAAAGACCAACAGAAAACTATCTCAATACCTGAGTCTTCCGAAAAAAATGTTGGCATATTTTTTGAAGAGACGGGTGATGACGAAGAACTAGAACAAGACGAAGGACCAGATGAAGTGAACGAACAAATTGAAACCGTTAGTATTGACGATGAAGAAGTTGATAATTCTATTATGGAGGATTTTTTCGATTTTGAGGCATTTCAAAAGGATCAAAAAAATTTTTCTTCTTTTGAAGTTCACGATTCTTCAACAACTGTAGAAAGTGAAGAATGGTCTATTGAGGACATTTTACAAAACCAATAATTTTTAGTAAATATATAAAATTTAATATTTAAAATTAATAAAATATAAAATATATACTTCGGAATAGCCTAGTTTTTTATAAATCATGTTAACGAGAATCTATAACAATAAATTGCGAGTATACAGAATGTTATAATTTAGTACTATAAGGTCACGAAAATATTTCTAGTTTCAGTATAAAAAAAATTTAATGAATAATGCGATTCGAATTTTTACCAAGTATAGTCTACGCACGTACGTACGTAATTGTGAGAGGAAAATTCATCTAAAGATTATCACCGAAGTGGTTCGGGTCGATTTAACCAAAGTTGGTAGAGAATCTGCCAAAACTGGTGAAACTAACAGATCTGCCAGAATTGGCAGTTTCTGGTCGTAACGATAGAAAAATTCGCAGTGAATTAGTAACGTGTAAAATGCAGTAAATTAGTAACGTGCAAAATGTATTTAAGTGCTAAAATTTCGCTGAAAATAATGGATAACTCCCCTTGAGTTCATAACTACGAAAATAAATAAGTAGTAGTTTTTCTTAAGGTTCTTACTTGATATAAAGTCGTTAGCGTATATCGTATATCGTTTATCATATGTTCTTGTCCCTGTGATTCGTAAGAGACCCGTTATCGTTAGTAAGCTAAAAGTAAAAGAAAAAGATCTTATTAGTAACCTGACCCTATTTATATAAAAACTTAAATTGATTACGTTTGTGATTAACCCTATTTACATGATCCTGTTATACATGACACCGAAATTCGAAACCCGA